TGCACAGCTCCTACATCGCACCTTTAGTACATTTTTTATTTTTTTCTATTTTACATTTTTTAATCTTATTTTATATATTGTAATTTAAGTTGTTGTTAGTTCTGCTTTATTTCCTTGTTAATTGTTTAGCACCAATACACCAAGTCAAATTCCTTTTATGTGTAAATGTACTTGGCGATAAACCCAGATTCTGATTCTGATTCTGATTCTGATAGCAAGGAAAAATCTCTCACAAGAAAATGGATGTCAACAGATGCACCCACGTTCAGAACGGGACTGATGTAATCCCATGACATTTTAACGATGGAGACGACTCGATCGAAGAGAAGTTTAAAAGTCATTGGGAATCTTTGACTACATGCATCTTCCTTCAATGTAAATCAGAAAAGATGAAACTAACACACGTCTTCTCCTCCTCTGCTCTGAGGCCACACCGGGACAGTCTCTCAGGTGTGAGCTATTTAAGATCCAGCAGTCAACCCGTTCTGTCTCTCATCATCACCACAGCTCCTCGTCTCACCATGTTTTTGTTGTAGTCTCCTTATGTTAGCTTAGCTTGATGCCTAACCACATGACGCACACACATTCACTGACATTCACCTCACTCTCTTTGTGAATTATTTTTTTTATGTTTATTTTAATAAACTTCTACAGGCCTTAAGAGCTGGGATGTGACCCCCACACTTTATCATTCACCTGCTGAAAACATGCCTGTGCAAAAAAAAAAAAAAAAAAACTTTCCCCTCTGCAGACATTTAAACATCTGTTTCAATCAACCAGTGATTGAAGTGAGGCGAGTGACATAAAATCAGCGGTGTAATAAAGGTCAGAAATGTTCTAATTTCTGCTGAGCAGATGTTTTATATTTCTGCATGGATGCACCCCCTTAAGAAAACAAAAAAAACGGCACATTCCCGGTAGTAGAGTATTTCTCGAGGCTTGAGCTGCTGAGTTGAGGAGGATTCAGTTTCAGATTCTTTAAGGGGGAAATTTGAGGGGTAATGTTTTTTTAAAGATGCGGCTCACCTGGCGTCTTTTAGCCACCTCTGGTCCATCTCCTCCTGCCAGCCCTCGGGCGGGCTCTCCTGCCAGGCGTTGAAGTAGCGGATGATCCCCGGGTGCTCCAGCTTGGCCAGAGCTTTCACCTCTCGCATCACCTTCTCCCGGGCCAGCTCCCTGAAAGATGCAAAGTGAGCGTTAAATCATTTAAGATTAAGATTTACTTTATTGATCCCCACAAGGTGTTTTTACACTCTGTGAGTCATGCAACACACACATAGGCTGAAATAACACATGCACAAACAGGATCCTATGCTCAGGAAGTGATCTGGCACCTCTTCAGCTACCAGACCAACTTCCAGATTTGGTCCACACTGGAACTTGAACCGGCGACCCTCCAGTTCACAGCCCAAGTCCTTACAGGCTGAGCTACTGTCGCCCCAATTTACAACTCAGTGTGAAAAGCAAAGACTTAAAATGAACCTATGTCAGACTGTTTTAAGATCAAACAATCAGGAAGTGTTGCACTTCAAAAACTGTCTAAATGACAAGTCACATCAGCCCGGAGATAATGCACCAATAAAACACAAAATCATCTCCAGGTTTGTTTGTCTGCACTGTGTGACGAATCAGTCCACAAGCAGGCTGAAATATAAATTCATGCAGATCTGCTGCAGCTCAACAGCTCATTTCCATGCTTGTCAGAATAAACATAAATGCGTCTGTGTTGTTTTCTGCATCCGGACAAGCAGCCTTCCTCTTGCATAACCTCGGTTTAACATCTCCAAAGGAAACAAGAGACAGAAAAAGAAAGAGCAAATAGCCTCGAGCACGAGAGAGAGAGAGAGAGAGTGTGTGAGGTGTGAGCAGCCAGCGGAGCTACCTGTTGGGCAGGCGGATCCGTTTGATGGCGTAGTTGCAGTCGTCCACTTGGTTGCGGGCTTCAAACACGACGCCGAAGCCCCCGCGGCCGAGGCACTGCACGGGCTCAAAGTCGGTCAGGTACCTGGGGGGAGGAGACACTTTGGTTTAGGGATCTCTCAAGAGGTAGGAAGCACAGATATTCTTTCATTCTCTTGCATCGCAGACGATTTCAAAGAGCGGGGATCACACTGAGCGTTCGGGTCAGGGCGGCTTATTAAGCGGTTAAAGGGGGTAATAAGAAGCCAAAGACCTGTCGGAGCTGCCTGCGGCTGAGCTGGCAGGTAACCAACTCACACATAGCAACAGTTAGTTCATGAATTCAAACTCGTCTCACGCTGTCAGAAAACTGCTTGGCTAAGACCGACTCTGCTTTGAGGTCTCACGCTGAACAGAGAAGACATGAAGCTGTGCAGAGGAGAGGAAATAATCCTGATTTTAGGATTACCTTTGTGGCCTAAATCTAAAGCTTTAAAAAACAATATTCATTTGTTGGTGACATCATCGTTCTGAGTTCATTATTACTCCAGGAAGACAAAGAAAGGACGCCACAGGATCTTTCAGTCATTCTGCTTTTGACAATTCAACACAGTAAGATAACTTTTATTTGAAGGTACAATAAATTGAATTTTATACTAAAATTTGTATTTGTTGTTGCGTCGTTACATTACCTCAAATATTACCAACCATAATGCATTACGCTGCCACGAACACTTTTCACTTTACTGAACAGAAAAATCATTGCTTGACTCTCATCTCATTTAAATGTATTGTCGCTCTGTATCTTTGCTTATGTTTTGCTATTTTTATTTTTTTGTCTTTGTTTGTTCTTGCTTTAGTTGTCATTGTCTATATATTCTTGTTTCATTTTGTTCACCTTATCAAAGAGTATGTTGGAAAAAAAAAAAAAAAATATATATATATATATATATATATATAATACCAACCCTTATCAAAGCCAGAGAAAGAGGTGCAGAGGATATAAGCTGAGTCTTATTTTTGCTCCTTTTCATTTTTTATTTTTGTATTTCATTGTTTTGTTTGTATATAAATCAATAAATCTGGTTGTGTGCACATCCTTAAGATGGTTATTTACTGTCCTGCATAAGTAAAGACAACAGAAAAAGTTAATTTTACAAATGATGGAATCAGAGAAATTGATGATTATCATGAATTGCTGTAATAATAATCGATTTTATCTTTGCAGCTCAAAACTGTATGACACTTAAAAAACGTTTAAAACGATCAGCACCTTTGAGCCTGTATGCATCCTCTACCTGAGGACAAAGGGGCGTGCGTTCCTTAGGTTTGAAGTAATCTTCTTCTACGCCCTGCTCGTGCTCCTGAAAGCGGCTTCATGAAGCGTTGTGTGGCCACATGTGATCAGGCCTCGTATCTCACTCCTTCCTCTCCTGACTCATGTTCGCTTCAGCTGCTGCAGCAACCAGCCGGTTTTTATTTCGGGAAACTTTTGCAGCAAAAGTAATTTGTATGGATTGCAGCTGCAGCTTCATAGGGGAGGGGTGGAGGGGTGGAGGGGATATTTGTCATTTCAGGGTGGATCAAAAGAAGAGAACATGCGAGGGGATGACAACAAGAGGAGAAAAAAAAATCCACGGTTTAATGTGATTTTTCACTCGTGTTTTGGGGGGGGGGGATATTAAACCGACAAACGTTAACATGCAAACTCCATCGATCAGACTGCAGGAGGTCAGTGGCAGCTCATAAATTATGTTCTACTGATCAAATTTGGGACGACAAAAATAACAAACAAAGATTCTGACAATGTGCTGACAGTGATGTAAAACGACACTGCGACCCTGTGGCAGATGCTGCCGGCCGGGGTGGGGGGGTTGGGGGGTCTGCGGGGGCCAAGGTCATTTTCATTTGACGGCAAACAGCTGAGTTATCCAATCGTACACTACTCCAGCGCCTATCTTGCATCTCTGCCCGGCTCCTATCAAGGCAGACGGGCTGGAAGACCAGTGGTCACCATGGTAACAGTGCCAGTGAGTGTGTAGCTACACCTTGAAGGCGTGAGACTGCCGTATGACTTTCAGGAGTGAGGATGGCAATTTCTGTGCACAGCGAGTGAGTGAGTGGAGTTCTCCTGAGTCATGACTATGAAATCATGCACACAGAGCCCCCAGGTGTGTTCAAAAGACGTACCTGGACACATAGTCGCTGGAGCGGGTCTCCATAGCAACTGGCTCTTTGGATTCAACAACCTCAAGGTCAAACTTGCAGTCCGTCTGGCACTGGGTCTCCGACTCTTTTCGTTGCTTCAGGGGGACAGAAGGAGGAGATTATAGTTTCACATGTATCCAGCATGTAGTTAAAACAACTTTATCTCACTTTAACGATGTCACAGTAACAACCTTTGTTTGACTTTAACCTCACATAACTTATGTTAACAAACTAAATTATGAAAATGACTCGACATGCATGTGACCAGAGAGAGAGAGAGATATACAGAGACAGAGAGGGGGGAGAGAGAGAGAGAGAGAGAGAGGGGAATTTTGTTGTTGTTGGTTGCATGTCTCATCTGTGGGTTACTTTGTTGTTGTGTTTGTTGTTGTTGTTGTTGTTGTTGTTGATGTTTGGGTTCTTGTGCTTTGTTGTTATATTTGCTTCCGCACGTGTCAAAGCACTTTGTAAACCTTTGTTTTTAAAAGTTGTTATTATTATAAAACAATTATAAAAACTGTAAAAATGTGACGTCAACGAGATCTTAAAACTCTGGGATGTCAGCTTTAAGTATTCGGGGGCGCTCTTACCCTCACGTATGTCACAGGGGCCGGGGGGTGGAAGAACTTGCGGACGATGTAGGTGGTGGCGGCGATGCAGAAGAAGATGGTGCCCAGGATCTCCTTCCACCAGGGCAGGAGCAGCACGGGGTCCTTCTTCCTGCGAGTCTCACCTCCGGCACCGTTTCCACTGATGAGGCTCACGGCGCTGTCTCGCTTCTCCCGGTAACGCTTGCTGTAGGGGAAGTAGTAGCCGTTGTCTAAAAGAGGGGAGGGGGGAAACCAAAAATGATGAATGTGTCTCCCCTTGATGTAAACATCATAACTGTGGTTCAGTAGGAGGCTCATACCGTATGGATACTGGAGGATGGACAGCGCTCCGTTGCTGTACTCTTCATGGGAGAATTTGTCATTATTCAGACACTTGTCGAATTCATCAGAGCCAACCAGGGCGGGTGTCCGAGACGGGGAATCTGTGTCAAGGACAAGATGAATAAGTGCTTTGATCTCTGCAGGGATCGATAAGAGCAGGAATAACAATCGCAGCAGAGTCATACATTAAAGGGAAAGAGGAAGACGCTCGCAGCTACACAGAAAACGAGCCCAAAAGGCGGCTAATTAATTATCATTTCTTAACAACAAGAAACAGTTTCCCCCCTTTTGTGTTAAAGAAATAATAATGAAGCTGAGTCTTTGATCACCCTCAATCTGGGTAATCACACTCAACACCTAACGACTAAAAGGAGGTGAGGACTTACGGATTATAGGCTTCCATTTGACAGTGGGGAGAGGGATGATGTCCTTTTCTGATCCAATAGCTTTGGTGGGGAACTTTTCGGTGATTCTCACCGAGGACTGGAGGTAGAGCTGTCCCTGGAACATCCCTGATTTAACAGAGGGAGCGAGAGAATGCATTAGACTCTGTTTGGTACACCTGACACAACTTTAAAAGGACGAGAGCTGAAAAGAAGTCACATGAATAACAAATACATAAATATACACAAGCATGCAGGGTGAGTATCCAGGGTCTGAAATCGACTTTTGGACGTTTCAGCCCAGGTGGAGGAATCTATATTAAAAAGGAAATTATCTTCCGAAAAGGTAAAGGGGTAATAATGGATTTGAAGTGTCTAAAAATGTAAATTCTGGTTGCGTTTATTTTGTTTTGGATTGGAAAATCTCCAAAAAAAATCAGATAATCGAAAAAGACCAAGTACTTTGAGTTTTCTGTTGTTATCTTTCATCACAAGAAGTTCACTGATTTACACAAGGAGAAGGAATAAAGGCGGGGTAGCAGAGAGAATCACTCCCATGATTCTCTGACAGAAAACAGCAAAGTGGGCGTGTGCTTTAAAGGACGCTATAGTACTTTTTTCTGGACCAAACTCTGTGCGGATACGTCGACAACTACAGACTAACGCAGGCTGTGATCAAACCGTCTTCACATTCCTACAGCAGCTTTTTCAAGCCTGAATAAATGTTTGTTTTTTTAGTTAAATCCTTGATGTATAAATCTCTTCCTATTCTTATTTTTTATATTCTAAGTGCTTATTTAAGTATCTATTCTTATATTGTTTTATTTGCTTTGATAACCTGCTGCTGTAACTCCACAATTTCCCAGTTTGGGATCAATAAAGTAATTCTATTCTATTTTCACTGAGACTCTGCACAGGTATTTTATTTACACCATGATTTTTCATTTTCTTATGCATTCCAACCCATAACCTGTTCTGTACTCCTCATGGATCATCTGAGATCTGTTGCATCATGAGTAAACAGTGGCTCATGATGGCTGGCGTTCCTGTACAGGTATGTGCATGCATGAGCATCAAAGGTCATGTTTGTGCGTCAGCTCGCCGCCACGTAGCACCAACATGCAGACAGCAAAGAGGAAAGAGAAAAAAGCTGCATCCTGTGAGCCTCTGTGTGTGAGTTTACCGAGGTAAACGCTGGACTCTGCAGCTCCTCTGGCCTTCTTTGGATCGTCTTTATCACCGTCCTCATCATCCGTTTCTGACTGGTTGCTGTAGGCGTTGTCGTCAAACAGAGTGATCGGTGTGACTTTACCTCCGCCCACAAGCCAAGCCGAAGCGATTGGGGTGCAGAACTACACAAAAACAAGTGATACAGAATGAGTCTCTCCACTACAAACACACAATCTGAATGAACACCACAAACATTCATCGTTGCATTACCTGACGTTCCCAGACCAGCTGCCCCTCAGACTCACTGCTGAACGCCATGACCTTCCAATCAGGAACAGACACTTTGATGACCAGGTCCAGATTCTTCTTCTTGTGCTTTGGCTGCTTCTCTGTGCTCTCGCTGTCCTTTGGCTCATCGACGATGACCCGCTGACTCTCCCTCCAGGCTTCGCCTTTCGCAACCCTCCCTCCAGGAAGTTAATTCCCGACTGCATCTCAGAAACGAACTTCAGCTCATAGTTTCCAACACTGAAGTTCCACCTGGCAACGAGAGGGGAAGCGCACAGTTGTAATTTCTATTTCTATCTTATAATTAAGGATATGGGTAAAACAAAATGATGACCTCCTCCCTGTATTTGAATGGATGCTTTAAGGTACATGTAAACGAGAGCACATCAGCCCTCGCCTCTCTTCACTGGCTACCAGTTCATTTTATAATTAATTTTAAAATTGCATTACTTCTTTTTAAATCACTCCACGGTTTAGCCTCCTCTTATCTATGTCAGCTCCTAATCCCATTCACCCAAGGACGATCACTCAGGCCCTCTGAGCAGTCTCTCCTTGTCCTCCCTCATGATCAGCTGAAACTCATCTTTAGTCCCTGGCCTTTGAAATTAGTCAAATAAAATCCAAGATTTTGATAAAAATTATGCTTTTTGGTATTCAATGCTCTCATGTTTGTCTGTTATCTATAATGATTTGGTCAGCTGAAGCTGTTGTAAACGTGCTGTACAAATAACCTTGACTTGACTTAAATATCCAAATGTAAAGGCAATTTGATAACAGCAAATTTGTACAAAACACGTAGGTAGATAACAAAAAAATTCAATTAAAAAGATTAGTCTTGAGCGATAACAGAAAACGTGCTTAATTACTTGTGGTTTAAAATGTTATCAAATCCACTGACGGAAGCTGTCATGCTCTGAAACACCAAACAAGATGCAGCAGCTGCTTCCTGCCTCTCACGCCGACTGAGCGTCTGAGTGACAGCCAGCGACAGACTTGACTGATTGATCGAATAAAAACTCACTTCTCCATCCCCGATCGCGGCCTGATGGCTCGCACCGTCTTCTGAGTCCTCTGCAGCAGGAGCACATCTTCTGCCTCCATCTCGTCATCGCCCCAGCGACTGCAGCCCACCGCCGAGCAGATGTACCGAAGCTGAGGCAAAAAAAAAAAAAAAAAAAAGAGGGTTAGTCTGCCTCGATAAGACACTTTCAATTCTTTGTACTTTTCTCAGATCCTTGAATAGATCATAGAAGAGTTTTCACTGACCTTGCCACTGTACGCCCCAAGGCCATAGGTGGTGAGGGATTTGCCCCCAACCAAAACTGTGTCCTCCCCGATTCGGTAGGAGGACTCCAGCAGAGACTCGACACTGAAAGGCACTGCCTCCATACTCTCCCTGTCCCGGTTCCACTGGAACAAGGCACCATCCAGTGAAGGAATGACCATCTTATCGCCAAACACCTGCAAGAAGAACTCAACGTTAGTCCATCCCTGAAGTTAAAGGTCACATATCCTCCTCTTCTTTAAGTTTAAATAAGTGTCAGAGCTCCTCAAAACATGTGTGTGAAGTTTCTTGTTCTAAATCCACTCTGATCCTGTATTTGATCATGTCTATAAACCCCTCTATTTCAGCCCTGCTCAGAACAGGCTGTTTCTGTGTCTGTACCTTTAAATATGTAAATGAGCGGTGTCTGACCACGCCCCCTCTCTAGAAGGGCTCGGGTGTACTTGGTGCTTTCTCGCTCCATGTCCTATTGTTTATGGTGAGAAGGCAGACTCAGAGGGCAGAACAAACACCTAGCTGTGGGACTGTCACCCACCTGGGGGAGGGGCTACTGCCCTTTGTGATGTCATGAAGGGAAAATCTCCAAACGGCCTGTTTGAGCACACATTTTCTGAAAAGTGGAGCAGGCTGAAGACGGAGAGGATGAACTTTTCTCATCATTGGGGGGTTTGTAGACGGACTAGAGACACATGTTAGAGTTAGAGGAACATGGTGAAGTGGATTTTACAGAATATTTTTCCTTTAAATTAAATATCCAAAAAGAAAACAAAGGGAATTTGGCCATTACTCGCTTGATACAGACGTGAATACGTTCTAATCAGGATTGTTTAAGATTCTCAGTCGTGGTTTTTTCATTGCATTGACTTGTGTGCCAGTTTATAGGTTGTGAAACTTATCTCATGTTATGACATCTTCTCAATAATCTGAGTTGTAGCTTTGCCCCCCGGTGTCTTTTAACCCCTTTGCTACACAAGTTTATTTTAACATGAATTGTAGCCTGCAGTCTATTCATGTAACCCAACTTTGGAAAGTGATGTTGAGCTGCATCTTGGTGCACATTTGGTAACCATGTGCATCGTTTTACCCAAAGTAGAAGAATGTAATTTGTAATGACTGCTGCCTGATGCAATAGCCTCTAACACAAACCAAAACCTCCTGAAATATCTGTTACAGCTTGCAAAAAAGTGATTTTCAGCTCAGACAGACAAGGGTTCAAGCACAAAGACACCGGCCCACGCAGACAACACTGGCCGACACACATCGGCCCCCACAGCAGCAGCAGCTTTTAGCCCCCGCACACTTGGACTCAATCCACAGGCTTGGGACCATTACACAACTAAGAGAGCCTAAGTAATTAACCTGGATCTCTGTATGTGTGTGGAACCGAAGAACCGTGTGTGTGCTGATGGGTGCTCACTGTAGGGGGGGGGAGCAAGAATGACATCATTGTAAAAATCTGAGACTAATCCTGATTTAGCCTCCATAGCTTTAACTCATCAGGGGGTGGAAGTGTTTTCTTCTGGCACTTCAGTCGTTAAGAGGAAATACTTTATTTGTAGTCCAAGTTGTGACTCACTCTCAAGAACAGAAGTTTGATCAAATCATTGATCCTATAGGAGGCTGGTGGCACAGTGGTTAGAGCTTGCGCCCCACGTACAGAGGCTGTAGTCTTCCAAGTGGGCAGCCCAGGTTCGAATACGACCTGTAGCTCCTTTCCCGCATGTCATTCCCTACTCTCTTTTTTTCCGACTCTATCCACTGTCCTATCTCTCTGATAAAGGCAAAAAATAAATCTTAAATATTGAAATGATTGATCCTACAGGGCGCCGAGAGCCTAGTGGTTATATTGCACGCCCCATGTACAGAGGCGAAGAGGCCATGGGTTTGAATCTGACCTCGGACCTTTGCTGCATGACATCCCCCACTCTCTCCTCCCATCACTCTTCAGCGGTCCTATCCACAAAAAAAGAACTTAAAAAAACAAAACCATTACTGACCCTTCGACTGTGATTGATACAAATGGATGGAGTCATCAGGTGCAGACCGTATTGAACCCGTAACCTATAAATCACCTTCTTTTGGACACTCTCTCAGACTATAAAAGAAGTCGCTGTAATAGCTTGGTGGTGGATTAAAAAAGTGCCAGGAGGCAGAAACGTGTGACAGGGTGATTTACTCGAAAAAGCAGAGCCAGGAGCAGAGGTGATGTCATCTTTTTTAGAGGGAGGAGGGGGGATGGGGGGGTTAAGAGATAGAGAAGAGGATAAATTTAGCAAGTGAAAGGAGGAGGGAGGAGGGGTTAACAATCTGACCATCACATCACACCATGCTGGAATGGTGTGAGGGGGTGCAAAGAGGTTTAAAGCAGGGGAGGGGGGGGGGGTGGATGAGTCATCTGGCTCCTGATGCCTTAATCTGTGTCTGTCTGATCCAAGTCCAGCACAGACCTCCTCTCTCAGCTGCTCAACTCGGCCATTAACATAATGTTCATACACTCGCAGTTTCTTTCTCCACTGATTTCTGCAGAGTGATCGACCACGTCACCCGGCAAAACTTCTCTTGAGTTCTCAGTAGTGATGCAACATTTTATCCAAATAAATTGTTAAACTTTTTGTTGGTTCCATCTTTGTAAATAAATAAATAAATCCATCCAGGTTGCTTACTGGACGTTCAATCATTTGTTTGAAGTTTTTCATATTCAGATTTTGAAGATAAATAAATTCCCAAACGTTGAGAATCGGGACGTTTGTTTGGGAGAAGAGTTTTAAGTTTTGCAGGAGACTTCAACTCTGCCACTCAAACCTATTCCTACAGTTTCTGGCGGTCTTACAATGATCAGTGCATCAAACGGGCTCTCGGAAACAGGCATGTCTGGTTAATGAATAACCAGGGCATTAAACTGTTTAACTGCAGTTATCTGAAACTATTTATAATGTTGTTTTGAAGCTGTCATAATATGTCAAAGCAGTTTGTCTCTATTTTTTACGACTTTCAATGACCTTCACCCAATACTCCTGCATCATTGTATTTACCTTATCTTCTGACTGTAGAGATTGTAAACTCAACCTAAAAGCCTTTTGAAGATAAAATCATGTTGTTGTTTTGGGTCATCAAATGATTGAAGTGTTTTACATTTTCCAATTTAAGGAAGCCTTTATTATCTATACTGAACTTAGGATTTCAGTCTGTCTTTATTTAAGGGATCAAGCAGGAGGACAAAGTTCCGCTATTTAAAATAAAAAATCTGATCAAGACGAGACAGACGGCTCCAGAAGTTAAGACTTTATATTCAGCAGGGTATTCACTTTGTTGTTTTCTACATGAAAGAAATCTGGATTTAAAGATCCAAACCTTTGATTTTTGTTGAGGTGCTGTTCTGTTAAGACTCAACTCTAAATACAATTTTCTATGAACTCCATGGGACCCCTTCCAAAGATCTGAGGTAGTTATAGTTTGTTAAATGACAGAATCCAGCCCATAATGTCACTATGTTTATGGCTTTTGGCATCAGAGCTGCAGAACACGATCCAAGATGAATTAGTTTCCCTCTAGTCCCCGATATATGCTGGCTGGGTTAATTTACACATTTAATACTTAGAGCTGTGCCATGAAGCTTCAGAAATCCTGCAAGCTATCGCTGGAGAAGATGCACTCCATTAAAATGTTAATCAGCTGTTCTGCCGCTTTGAATCCAATTATTCAAAATGATGTTCTGCATAGCTCTCGAGAAACAAACAAGGTTTGAGCAAAGGGATGTTCTTTCATGAGATACTGTTGCCCCGTCTTGATTTTATTAATAAAACTTAATTAAAGGATATGTACTGTGTTTTTTAATAAACTGTGTAAGAAATTAAAAACCTTTCCCACCACAACTCTGTGATTTTTTATCTGTGTGTAAAAAGAAAATTCTTTGCATTAGGTTACTAATGTTTAATTTTTGTCGCTGCATATTAAAAACAACAACAAAAAATCCTAAGAATGTGGCGCCGGTATCCTAGTAGTTAATGTGGACGCCCCATGGACGGAGGCTGTCCTCCAAGCGTGCGGCAAGGGTTAGAATCCGACCTGTGGATTCTCCAGCATGTCATTAGCCACTCTCTCTTTCTCTCTCTCTTATTTCTGACTGTCCTGTCCCTAAAATAACGGCATAAAAAGCCCCCAAAAAATCTAACGAAAACATGAAAAGTATCAGATGTAACATTTTTTAATTGGAGGGAATAAAACATTAAATATTCAAAAAGGAACCGTTTCTTTAAAAAACATTCAAAGTGATTAAAAAACTGTCCTCTCAGCAAAAACGTTTTCCTTCTTCATGCGTTTTCTTTTTGTGTGTGTGTGTGTGTGTGTGTGTGTGTGTGTGTGTGTGTGTGTGTGTGTGTGTGTGTGTGTGTGTGTGTGCTATGAATTCCCCTCGCCTATTAATTTTACAGAAGTCTCATTCATGTCTTCCCCTCGTCTCTTCTTGAATGTGAGAGAGGATGTGGATTTCTCTCGGCTCATTCACTTATTTACTCACTTGAGATATTCGTCTGTTGTCTGCGGGGAGCGCTTAGTGTACGTCTGCACCGTCGGAGGTCAGATTGTGGTGAAACATGTCGGGGTTTTTTTGCATTTAGGATTAACACTAAATCTGCGTTACACCGTGATGACATCCTAAATATATTTATAAGTGTTGTTATGGCACATTGCTCTTGTTTAACTGGGGTATTAATCCTTATGAGGTGTAGCAGTTCATGATTAGTTGATGACTAATCATGTCATTGTTTTCTACTTTGGGGACATGTGCAGATGGAGGCGGTGTAGGTTCAGGGGGGGGAGGGGGGTGGAGGTGGGGGTTGGCCAGTTTCAGGAATGTGTGGGTGTGTTTTGTTTGTGCGCGGCTGCCGACGCTCCAGCGATCCTGTCAAACAGTGTCAGCTCTCGCCCGCCCCTAATGTGCCACTGTTGGCCCACAAGGCTGATGCTCCACTTTAAGGGCGGCAGACAGCATGAGACCGAGGAGGACTGCTGCTGCCGGTTTGAGCAGAACAAAACATAAACACAGTAACAAAAAAAAACAACAACAACATCCAGGCAGAGAGTGGGGGGGAGGGAGAGAGATCGACTTTGTGCCAAAAATATCGCCCATCTGGCCCTTTTCATTTCCATCTCTCTGCGCTGGAAGAATTATTGCTTGTCACATTAGTCACAGCGAGGCCGATCGATCGTTTGTCATTGTGGAGCCATCTATCAAATTCTCTCATTCATACACGCTGCATACCAGCAGAGGTGTGGGTATGTGTGTATTGTCTCTTCTGTGATGACATCATCTCTGGTTGGAGGCATTACCTCACCACCCCTGATCAATCCCCCCCCCCTTAACCCCTTTAGCCCCCCAGCATGACTCACTCCACGTTGGCACTGACTTCCTCTTTCTAACCCCCCCCCCCCCCCCCACACACACACACACCCTTCACCCCCCGTCTTATACCCCCTAGCGACTTTTGTCTTTTGAAGTGATGGCTTCTTTTTCTGCAGACAATGCTGTTTGTGGCTCTGCTGTCCCTCATTTCACAAAAAAAGACACACACACACACACACACACACACACACACACACACACACACACACACACACACACACACACACACACACACACACACACACACACACACACACACACACACACACACACACACACACACACACACACACACACACACACACACACACACACACACACACACACACACACACACACACACACACACACACTCCCAGGAAGCAGCAGGTGACTGGTTGCTTCCTCCTCGGCACGTTGAAGCCAGCCAATGACACGGCGGCAGAACCCCCAGCCTCTAATCACCGAGCAGACTCGTGTCTCAGGGACCCGGCAAGCACCAATGAAACTGTTGCTAAGCGCTAAGGAGGGTGGGGGGTGGGGGTGGGGGTGGGTTGTTGTGGTTATAGTGGTAGTAGCCAGTGGCAGCACCCTTACCATCAAGCCAGACAAAATAACAGAGAGGGCAGACAGTCATCCCAGGTTACAGAGGGCAGACAGGGCATGCTAGATTTTAAGATTATATAAAGTGCATGGGCATAATAAACACACATACAAGACACACACACACACACACACACACACACACACACACACACACACACACACACACACACACACACACACACCACACACACACACACACACACACACACACACACACACACACACACACACACACACACACACACACACACACACACACACACACACACACACACACAAACAGTTTCTGGACAATCATAACATGTGACATCACAGCCAGTCACCAGGTTCAGAGCTGACAGGCATCTCTCCTCGTTCCGCACACACCCAACACAAACCACACAAAACACACACAGAGACACACACACACACACACACACACACACACACACACAGTCGGCTGTCACAACAGGAGCACACTGCAGGAAGTCAGGAGGATGTAACATGTGTGTTTTCAAGGCTCTTCTTGTGAAGTCTCTCACACACCTGTCACTCGGAGAGACTGGAAGGCAGCGGTGAAAAATAGAAACGTAAGCTCTTTTCACTCCAGAAAACTCAAGAAAAAGATTTTCAGGCAGCCTGCCACTAAAATCTTCCAGACTTGCTTGTTCACGGTGGGGGGGCTCTGCCTGTTCGACTTCACTCTAATACTGTCCCGGTAGTAGACCGAGGACAGCAGGCCTGTAAACCCAGAGCTACAGCCAGTCTACGGCTACAGATCAAAACATTTCACCACCAGAGAGGGCCAACATTTAAGAATATTCTAAATGTGTTTAACCATGTTGTTTTTTTTATTCTGGTGCTGATCAGCGCGCGTGATGAGTCTCTTTAAAACGAGTTAAAAACTCTCCGCTGCTCGTCTTCTCACATTACCCCCTCGTCCTTCCTAACCTCCACTGGCTTCTCACCCCCCTGCGTATCCACTTCAAACTCCTCATGATCACCTTTAAAGCCCTACATAACCTGGCTCCTCCCCCTTCACCTATCTGAGCTCCTCAACTGGCACACTCCCACGCCGCACTCTCAGGTCTGCTGACACAAGCCTCCCTGCAGGACAAACCATCGGTCCTGGGGGGACAGGGTCTTCTCTATTGCCACTCCCACCCTCTGGAACTCACTCCCAAAAACCATCAGAGACCTCTGATGCTCACTTTCATCAAGAAATCTCTAAAAACTCCTCTCTTCAACATCGCCTACAACCACAAACCATCTCAACTCTCATCCTCCTCCTTTGACATTATTTTTCACTGTTTCTTTGTGAAGCGCTATAAAAGTCTAATGCGTTATTATTATTTTTATTATTCGACCAAAGAGAATCAATCAAACACTTCAAACAAAGGCGTAAAAAAAAAAAAAAATCACCCAAACAAGCTCCTTTAAGTGTGTTTTCATGTGCCACTTTATATTCAAGGTCAGATTCACATTCAGATGCAGCCATGGGGAAAAGCCGAACTCTCTTCACACAATCCTAACTGGTAAAACGCTTTGAGGTACCTTAAGGGCTTTCCCAAATCATCACCTCCGAGGAGCCTCGGAATAAAAAAGGTTGAAGAATTCAGAATTTAAACCAAAACACAGCACTTCTGAACCACGTGCCAACGAGGATTTAATTCCACACCCACACTGCGAGCAGCTGATTTCACTGATTACTTCCTGTCTTTTAATGGTGGGTTTGCTAATCAGGGAACTTTTCAGGCTCCAGATTTTTCATGCTAATTACCACACACTTGAAAAACACTTCAGCGCCTGATAATAAGAGGCTCCTCACTCACACGCTGGAATCAGGTTCTTCTGGAATGACTTGTTTGTATGTTTGGATTTTTGAAGAATTCTTGCTTTGATTTCATTCATGTTTTGAACAAATTGTTTCTCGCCCCCTCCCGAGTGGTGAGTGTTAACAAACAGACTGGGTTGGTTTTTTTTGATCTGTGTTATCCACCACTGAATGGAGTGCAACATATTCCTCTGTGGGAACCAAAAACTACATAACAAGCGCTTTTTTTTGGGAGGAAAACCCCCACCTGTCAAAAGGTATTAAACTTCATGATGGTTGTGGTTGATGTTTTTTTTTATTCTCATACTTGACTACTTAAGCAGAGCGCTCATTACCCTCCAACACGAGCAGACAAACATTAATCTGATCTCAGCAGCCATCCGGACTCTTGTTACAATCAGAGACTTCTTTTCCCTGAGGCTAAGCTCTCACAGCCACGGAGCGAGTCCACATCAAAGCCAACAAACGAGAGAGTCTCCAGCCTGCATCTCGGAGAGCGAGGGCTCCGGTCTGGCTTCACTTTCAGCATGTCGGTGTGGGCGGTTAAAGCGCCTGTATACATGTTCATCCGAGGGTCTAGCTGTGCTCGTATGTGTAAACCAATATAGTCAACAAAGAGGCTAATCCTCCAGGCGATACAGCTACTCTGGGATTTATGTGGGGGCGTGCAGTTTGTCTGCTGTGTATTGTGTGTGTGCATGAAATGAATTTGAGCAACAGCAACCCCTTGGCTGGCTGTTCAAAGTGCACAGAGTTCAATTGCTGGGCTCGCAGTCTATAGAAGGAAAGCCAACAGGGACGTGGTGTTTGTTGGGAGGCAGAGACTCAGACGAGTGTGCATCCTTAACCTCACGCTGACATGTCAGGACCGCCAAAAATTGACTTCTTCATATCTGCTAGTAGATTTTAATCGTCTTAAAAAGTCTGCTCGAGGGGCGCTGGTGGACTAGCGGTTAATTTGCGCCCCCCCCCCCCATGTACAGAGGCTGTTGTCCTTAAAGCGAGCATCCCAGGTTTGAATGTGACCTGAGGCTCCTTGACCTTTCCCACATGTCACTCCCCACTCTCTCTCTCCCCCCGATTTCCGACTCTACCCGCTGTCCTATCTCAATAAAGGCATAAAAAGCCTCTCCAAAAAAATCCTGAGTACTGTTGAAGTAGCTGTGGATGACCTTAGAGTGTATTTGAAGAAAAGGGAGAGGGGGATTCTTTATAGCTGGGATATTTCAACTCTTCTGCTGCACACACTAGCATTTGCATTCTGTTCGAAAAAGTCAGATTTTCCATTTTTAGGCAGGTTTCTTAAGGTTGTTCCCATTTGAATTTGTAAAAAACAAAACCTTAGCACACTGTGCATACTTGCAAGTATTAGAAATGTATTAAGAACAAGTGGTCGGTCGTTGTACCTCAGGTTTGCTGAGGCTCGAGGACACCAGGCACCCTGATCCGACATCTAGGTCCCACTGCTTCCTGCCCTGGTTGTGAGGATCCAGAGCTGAAATCCTCCCATCCAGAGTGCTGATGATCACAAGAGACCTGAGGACACAACAAAAACACTTCAACACATGCTTTACATTCCTAAAGGTTGACAAGACTGTTGATCATTTGTCAAGGCAGAAGTGAGTCTCTTATGTTCACATGAAAAAAATCATAGCAATGTTGTCCTTTAGAGCTTTATTCCCTGTGGGGATTTAAGTTAATCTCCAGCACATACAAGTGAAGGTGAAGAATTGTTTAGTGGAGTACAGATGTGTTCTTCCCCTCCGCTGTCCTCACCCTTGTTTAATAATCAAGGTGACCTTCTACCGCAGCCAACTGCACACCTGCGCCGCGACAAACCCCCATCCCGTCAGCCAGTCTGGGTTGGCATGTTGATTAAAGACGGGGGACCAGGCCTGGAGATTGTTGAAACCCTGACCAGACGTCCCACTTATGGTGACTTATTCCCCATTAAAAATGCAGTAGGAACACGTGTGAGACCCTGAATCCCCGGTCGGTTATCGGGGTCAAAACAGGAATACATAGGGACTTGTTAAATGATGCTGGATGAAAACACAGGAGCTACAACAAATGTTAACTCTGCAGGAAGAGCTCGTGAAGTGTGAACCTTTGTGATATTAATAGATGGTACAGATTAATAAACTATAGTCAAAATCCTCACAACACATGACACTTTTTATTTTAGCAATTTAAATCCACTTCTATCAGAGTCTAAAAGTGAAGATAGTCCCGTAGAGGCAGCACATCTCAATCACCTGAGACTGACTCCCAGTCTCTGAAATAAAACTGGGAGTCTGCACAGATGAAATGAAACGAGGCCCATTTACATGTAAATCCAGGTTTTTATGTGTTGACAATGGCTGTCTTTTTATTTAGAGTGGATGGACTTGTTCAGTGACATTTCCGTTTAGTCTCGGCTGTCTCTTCTGGGCTCTCAAACATTGGCAGAAAATTCACCAAATATTGGCTCGGCTGCCCGAGACGACAGCTCAGAGAAAGATGCAGATCGGCCCCGTCAAGAAAACCCCTTCAGACACTTTCACAGATTCTCTCAGACCCTCTGGATTTAATAATAGACATTTGGACATCACTGGTAACAACTACTTTGATCAAGGCCAGGGGGATAAAACTATTTAGGGCCGCAGGTAGCCTAGTGGTGCCTCATGTATGGAGGCCATTGTCCTCCAAGCGGACGACCCGGGATTGAATCTGACCTGCATCACAATCCCCACTCTCTCTCTCCCTGACTATATCCACTGTTCTATCTCCATATATACAGATAATGTTGATCAATTCTGGACATTTTGGCTCAGTGGGGAAAATAAAAGTCAACTTGTATGTTTAAGCATTTACTGCACATTCAAATGTTTCCAACCCACTTGATCTTGATCATTTCGTTAATGAACCAAAGTTTTGGGGAGCAAAGGGGCTAGTGGTTACTTTGCATGCTCAAAGAAGGAGGTGCAGGTTTGAATCCAACCTGTGGCTCCTGACCCGCATGTCACTCCCCAATCCCCAATATCTCGCTCCCAGATTTCTGACACTTTCCACAGTCCTTTCTCTAAAACAAAGGCATTAAAAGACCATTAATAACTCTTAAAAATCTAATAAAAAGTAAACCAAAGGACTTTAGAAATTCTAAACTAAAACTGAGCTTCAAATGTTAGCTGCAGCTTGGCTTGCAGCCCCTCTCCTGAGGCCCTTTATTTTGTTTTTCAGCATTTTTTAACCAGTTCCATTTGTCCTTGATTCAAAAATAAGAAGAGAGAAGACTAAAGATGAGAAATTTAACTTAACTTTATTGCATGGAATCAACTTTAACTCCAAGGTTTAACAAAAGTCTTTGAGAATGACCAACCAAAAGGTGCAGGGTGATGTTTAAATAAGCAACTTTAACAAATATCAATACTGATGAATAGAAAAAATAGCATGGACATATTTGTGGCAAAATTTGCTCTGCCGTATTGTGTTCAGAATACCAAAAAAAGTTATTTAGATACACAAAACTGTCATTTTAAAGTATGGTGGGCATATTTTCCACATATTTTATTGAGATGAAGTGTTGGCAGAGACTTAGTGAGCAGCTACAGATAAGATGCAGGGAGTAAAATAAGATGCAGGGAGTAAAATAAGATGCAGGGAGTAAAATAAGATGCAGGGAGTAAAATAAGATGCAGGGAGTGAAAATGTTTCCCCTTAGATGATGTATCGGCCTAGGTTTCCTCACAGCACCTCGGAGTTTTACCCCTGAGAAAAGATCTTTTTTTGAACAGTCGTGGTGATGGATGATGGCGATGAAGGTTTTTTCTCTGTTGGTAGTAAAGTACAAATCCTTCCTACAAGTTTTATTCCACTTTTAGTTCACACACACACACACACACACACACACACACACTCTCTCTTTTGTCTAGTTAAAAACAGTCCAACTGACTTGAATTAATCCAGACAACCGAGCCCCACCCTGAGCTAACTCTTAAGGGGTTTTGCCGCATTGCCTGTCAATCATGTGCTGAGCTCTGGCAGTGGCCAAACCTTCTGACTATTGATTTGTATCTGTCTAGGGGAGAAGCTGTCAACGGGGCTTTTAGCTTTATTTAACCGGCGAGAGTCGGATGAGCACATATACGCCGCCTCAGAGCGCACACTGTTTCACATCCCACACAGCTGGGACCCAAAGAGCTTCCCTCTGTTGGCCACTGGGGCATGTGAGGGTTTTAACTGCCTCCCGCGAGGGCTACGAGACAGCAGATGCAGAGGGAAGAAGAGACGGAGTGATGCTTGTTGGTTTCCCAGACTGAGACTGAAAATGAGAGCTCATCAGCGTCCATCCTTATCACCGTGAAATGCGACAGTTGTGCGGAGTTATTCTCTGCGTCACCTGAGCTATCCATCATTCAGACTGAGCAGGTGAATTGCCACCGACTGGCTATAATCCCTTATTGATTTCACCTATCGAACGCTCTTCACTCAAGAGGGAAGAGGGGGAGAGAGCATGTTCAAGGATGTAAAAGCTTTAAGAAATGGATTGTTTCAAGGGGGGGGGGGGGGCAGATCAATTTCAGGAAGATTTTACTCATGTTTGGCACATTCACAGGGAGTTAAGAGTCCTGCTCCGGACTTGTTTTTCCAGCTCAATGAAAGCTGCAAGATTGCATAAAAATGCAAATAAGATCGCTTAACAGTAATGAGCCATGTGTCTTTCAGGCCCCATCAAAGCCGAGATTATCTCCCCAAATCTGCTCTTGGCTTTATCAGCCTTCACCACTGTAGCACTCAAGTGTAGAGTACTAAGAAAAACATTGTGTTTTTTTTTCTCACACAGCCACCAATAAAAAACAGAGTGCTAAAAACCCCTTCTCGCACCGCCTCCATTGGCTGTGAGAACCTGCCAAAAATATTAGGCTGATTGGTTGTTGCTAAGCAGTCAGCTCTCTGAGAGGGTGGAAGCTTTTGGCGGCCTTTGCAGGGCCTGCCCCGCCCCCCACCTCCCCCGTCCCCCCCCCATCCTCCTCCAAGTCATGCTGTGAATGTAGAAGTGAGGACGAAGTCAGTGAGAGCATCGAGTTCAACTTCAGAGATGGGAAGAGGGCGAGATATAAGAGATAGAAGAATTTTATTCTGAAAGGAGGATCAAAGGCTTTTGTGACTCTTTGTACTCCAGATAAAGAAGAAGAAGAAGAAGAAGGAGAAGGAGGGAGGGGGCTTTGATAAGGGGGGGCACTTAACTCTACAACTATGGTAGTGTGGTGGCTATGGAGAGAACAAGTAGAGGAGGGGGGAGGCTACAAAAATAGCGCTAAACTGAACAATAAAAACCACTGAAACAAAACAAACAGCCCCACTGTATCAGTTAGAACTCGGGGCAATTTATTTTCCATGTCTGAGCCCCGAGACGCTGCTGCTCCGCTAGTCACCGAAAGGGATAACACGTAGCCTGTGGGGCTGCTGCTGCTTCTGCTGATGTGACAGATGCAGGCGGCGGAGACGCTGAAGAAGACGTCGGAGTGGAGTTTTAAAGGAGGAGAAAGAAAAAGAGTGCTGCCAACAGACTGAGGGTTGTTAGCGTCCTCGCCTGTAATACTGTCAAAGTGTCATAATGGTGCAGGGTGCTTCTTCAATCACAGAGCGTATGGTGGAGCAGGGAGCCAATTATCCTCCCTCTCACCAGACTCTCTTCTCCTCAGAGACACTCAGCCTCAGTCTGCACACACCGGCGAAAAACTGAGCTGCTGCTGCTGCTGCTTGGTAAACACAACTCCATTGAAAGAAACAACCAGGATGTTTACACAGGCAGAGTCTCCAAGGAGCGGGGAGCCGCAGAGCCGCACCAATCGCAACAGCCTTGCAACTTCTCAGGAGCCAATGAGAGCGGTGTTTTTCTCCTTCAGCTCAGCCAATGCACGGGCAGCTCTGCACCCTCGGAGCCAATGGCGGGGCAGAAGTGTCTGTAACCATGCAACAGCGAGCAGCCTGGATTGCACGCTGGAGTGTGGAGTTCTGCTGCCGCGCAGCTGCCAGTCAGCCACCGAGAGGCAGAACAAAAATATGAGAGCATGGGGAGCACGTGGGGAGAAAGTTATGGATGCAGCTCTGAGCCCCGGCCGCACCCAGCACCAGCAGCAGCAGCTGCAGCAGAGTCAAGTGCATTCCTTTAAACTGGGCATGTTCTGGGTGGGGGAGCCAACGTGGTCAGGGTTTTTAAAACACTTGATTTGAGATTATGTCTGAAGGCATTCGAAAGAAAAACAACACCAGAAACTGCAAAACTGGATACAGGGATGAATGCACATATCTTTTAGCGCTCCCTTGAAGTCTCCAGTTGTGTTAATCCCATGATTCAATGCAGGATATTTTAAGACTTAAATACCTGCAGGCGATAACACGGCATGAAAGCAGACATGACTAACAATCTCTAATATGAATGAGGACTTAAAATAAAAGCAGATTAAGTGTCTAAGTTAAGAAAAAGGAAATGACATGGCAGTGAAAGGACACTAAGCCTGCGGAGACATTAACAACCACAGATGACATAAGAG